TTCTTTTCTCTCAGTGGCTAACTTGAAGGGGGGAAGAGTACAGGAAAAGTGAATACGTGTTGCTAGGAAGGAAGATAATCTGTTGCAATGCCCTGCATGGGCAAAACTCAAGTTCATTGTTCGTATTATATAAGGTAATGTACCTCTAAAAATGACAACAACAAAAAAAAAGTATAACACAAAGTTTAATGACTGCTATTTAAATTAACATATATACCTAAGATATTACAATAAACAAATTCCACTCAAGGTATGACATTTTTCTCTCTCTCAATTTTTTTTTTACAAGGCTAACAATGGGGATGAAGGTCATGTCCAAAATCAGATGAGAAGGCTGACAGATGGCTGATACAAACTGTCCAAATGCAACGTTCCTTGACTTAAATGCAGATGGCTACTTGGCAATAAACTGACTAAAATCTGGAAAGACATAAGGATTCTATATATCAAACATAAGAAAAAAGCAAATCTAACAGCAGTGAGTATAGATAGTTTCCAAGCTGTTGCACACATTGATAGCCCTTTCACTGATATGGTATTGTAACCTGTAAAGCAAAAATAAATAGTTTGCTAGCAGCGGAAATTATCTTTAAATTGACTACTGTTTTAGATTGCTCCCTAGGGAGATGCACATTAGGCATAATTTGCATGATTCATGATTGTTTTGCTTTGAGTTTATAAACAGTGATCTTGATTATAACGACTGTGACACAACCCAAAAAATCCAGAAATACAAGTAACATATCTGTCTTTCGCAACTGGATAGATGAAAAAAACAATGCACTGCATGTTTTGTTGGGAAAAAATAAAAAATAATAAAATGCTGCACTTCAGTTCCAGCAAACTAGATGGAGTTTCAGCCGTTGCACCGGGATGATGACTGCAGCTGCAATCATCATCCTGGTACCGTTATTTAGAGCTGACGGTTGGCTCTCTTGTAATAGCAATCGAGCTATTATAAGCAGACGGAGGGGATGTCCGCCAGCTTCTGTGGCTTTAACAGGAGCTCCTGTTCCACCGGGGGGTGAAGATCGACTTGCCGGTGACAGCAGATTTGTTTGACTCCATTAAATAGTAAGCTGAAAGCAATGACCTATCACTTCCGGTTTACTCAATATTACACTGTGCCATTTAAAAAAATAAAAGAATTGGTGTGATTGAATGTTTTTAAGGGCAGAGGAGGGATTTGGGGTCTCATTGACCCCAGATCCCTCCATAAAGAGTACCTGCCACATGCCTATTGCTTTCACAAGGGATGTCTACATTCCTTGGGACAGCAATAAAAGTGATAAAAAATTTAAAGGGACAGTGTAAAAATAATAATAAAAATAATTTAAAGTGCCCCCGTTCCCCCCATGCTTGCTCGCCAAAGTGAACACACATGTCGGTCCCGCATGCACGCAAACAGCGATCGTCCCACACATGTGAGGTATCACCACAGATCATGGGCACCAGACCTGCTCTGTAAATCTAAAGTGATAACCTGCAAAGGCTTTTAAAGCGTCGCCAATGGATAGTAAAATTTACATTGTTTGTCACCGTTGCATGGGTGGGCACAATTTTAAAGTGTGACATGTTTGGTATCTAATTACTCAGGGTAAAATAATCTTTTATACTTTACAGAAAAAATTGGTTTTGCATTGCATTAAGATTTAAAAAAGTGTGTTTATTCCAAAAAAATTGTGTTTAAAAAAACAGCTGCGCAAATACCACGTGTCATAAAAAATTGCAAAGCCCACCATTTTGTTCTTCTGCCTCTACTTAAAAAACATTGAATGTTGGGGGGTTCTAAGTAATTTTCTAGCAAAAAATACTGATTGTTACATGTAAACAAAAGGAGCCAGAAAATGTCTGGTCTGGAAATGATCAAAGTGTCATTAAACCCACATCATTAAAAACTATCAATAAATGCTGTATTTCATGCTGGTCACTATGGGATTTGTTTTCTGTAATCTGAAAAAAAACCTGGTTGATCCTGCTGTTCTCTGTCTCTACCTACTGTTCCATGCTGTTGGGAATTTTGCAGAGCAGTGTTGGAAGCTAGTGCACATGCTCAGTTTTCAGTGTTTTTATGCCCTGAGCAGTTCCTCCCTATCATATCTGAGCAGTCTATGTGAATATAGAGACACACATGTGGTAAATGACAGCGCACTCTCTCCCTTCTCCTCCATGCCGACTAACCACAATGGGGGGGGGCTATTACATCTTGTTTGATGGAGGCTTCACCTACTTGTTATTCTAAGACACAGGTTGAAAGAGTATGACACTGCCTGTGACTGACAGAAATCTACCCACACTATGTTATTGCCAAAATTAATAAAGATTTAATTCAAATATATATTTGCATGACAATTTTAAAATAGTTGATTGATGTTATTTGTCTTTACCCTGTATCACAAAGGCTGTTTTTTTTACATTTGCCCAGGAGCAGAGGACTAGAAGCTCCTCCTGACACTGTTTTCCTACAGACAAGGTGGGAAAAAACTGGGTCATGTGCAGGGGTGGACTGACAACTCATGGGGCCCCTGGGCAATAGGGGATCATGGGGCCCCTGTGTCGTTGCCCAAACTCAAAAAAGCCTATGAAAAAGCTACAAGAGGCATGTCATGGGGCCCCCTACTGACCCCGGGCCCTCGGGCAGTGCTCGAGTTTCCAAATGGTCAGTCCACCCCTGGTCATGTGACAGCTATATATATCGATGAGGAAAAAAGGTACTTAATTTTTTTTTTATGAAAATAATTACAGTGCCATCATCCATATACAGAAAGAGAAGGGATAACATAAATGAAACAGTGTATGTTTAGTATCACTTTAAATGCCATCTGGTGCAATGCTGTAATTCAGTAATGTGATTGTTTCCCAGCTTATAGATAGCATGAATTTTTGTTCTTGTAACATGAAACAAAGATTTCCCCATAGAAGTCTTATTTCTGTTGATAAGGTGAGAACCGATGTCCAAGAATGCCTGGAGTCATCAAAAAGATAAGTGCAAGATGTGCTTATCCTTGGGTTAATTAGAAACTTAGGAAGCATGTATAACATGAAAGAGACCAGAAGCTATGCTAGAACACCTTGGCATGATCATATTTCCTATCTGCCCCTGAGAATTGAAACATGTAAGCTGCTTGTTTTCTGTATTTTTTTTACCTCTGCCTACATTATATAAACTGATTTTATGCTGTGAAGGATCTGAGTCACCGACTGCATTCATTCTAAATATTTCCTATCTGGACTGGATATACGCTGAAATTTCCATGTCTGTGCTAAAGATAAGTCTGGGCCAGTCCAGTTTAGCCTTTCCCCTTTGTGTTCCCTACAGGACTAAACAGATGGAAATCTTATTAATAAAATAAGTTAAATATGATTATTGCTACTTCATACAGTAAACTTTGTAGAAAAACATTTAAAAATGAGAAGTGCTCCTAGATGAAGTACGTAAGTGCATAAAAATCAAAACTTTGTTTAATAACAAACCACAAATGATTACAGATTAAATAAAATAGTTCAAAAAATAAAAAATAAATTTTGAAAGTGGGAAAATGTCATCTTGTGTATGAGGATGTGTGCAAAAATAAGTGTGTGTGTGATTGGTAATGCTGCACAATGCTTGTACACAGTGGATATATGTAACACAAAAACTTCAATCTCCTTGCTCAGGGCCAGTAGAAGATGGGAATGGAAAGAAGGTATCAGCCTCATTATATAATTTTACACTTAGCAATACAGTTTTACATAAGATACTGTTCTTACATAACTTTATCCCTAATTAGCAAATATTTTACATAGGCTCAATATACTATGCTCTCACTTTCCAAACTTGGAACAAATGAAACTTACTGATACCAGACATATAACCCTGTAATTATTATACCATAATGACATAATTAGTATTATTAGATACTAGCAGTGCTACCTGTCTACTGCTTTTAAAGGATAAGTTCACTTTTTATTTAAAAAAAATAAAAAATGCATATCTTTTGAGGGAAAACATTTATTATTTTTTTACATTTCAGCCTGTAAAGCACCCGCATTTATCAGATCACAGATGCAAAGCCAGGCTACTGCAGACTCTCAGTAAACTGTCTCCTAGTACCTCATAGAGGCAGGCAGTTATTGAGTAGCAGGAAGAATGAATGAACTACAAGAGCGCTCACCAGCACCCTCGTAGTTAATTGAGAACTTTAAGCTGTTGGTTGTAGCAGTTGTAGTGCATTCTGTGAATGAATGATGTGGTCGTGGAGGAGGAACCCCACATCATTCATTCACACGATCCCGAGCTGTCCCCGCTGCAACCCGTTTCACTGGCTGTCCTGTATGCCAGGAGGCCGGCATCTTCAGTGTAGGCACACGACTTTGACAGCTTGTGGCTTCAAAGCCGGGTGCCCACTGCGCATGCGCGAGTAGCGCTTCTCTTCCTGAGTGGCCCCGACGTTTCTTGGGACCTGTCATGTGTCCCACAAGACTTTGGGGAGGGAAGGTAAGAGGACAACTTCCATTTCTGATCGCCTAGGCCAGCGGTTCTCTCAACCTGGGGGTCGCGACCCCTTTGGGGGGTCGAACGACACTTTCCCAGGGGTCGCCTAAGACCATCGGAAAACACATATTTCCGATGGCCTTAGGAACCGAGACACCGCTCCTTGATCCGTCTGCAGGTGTGGGCGGGATGACATGCCGTCCCTGTCATCTGGACACACCCCCGGGATCAATCCTTCCTCGTCGGTGATTGGCCGCCGGAACTGTAGCTCAAGAGAGGCACACAGGCGGCCAATCACCGGCGAGGAGGTGGAGCTTGGAAAGGAGGAGCCGAGCGGCGAACCAACCGCGAAGCACGAGCGAGTGAAGAGGAGGAAAGCGCCCGGAGAAGGAAGCCATCTGACCGGTAAGTGTTTGTACCATGGGAGAGGGAGGGAGGGAGCGAGCTCAGGCTGGAGCAGGGGTCAGCAAGGTAAGTATCATTGGTGTCAGTGGGAGAAATAGTGCCCAATCATTGGTGTCACTATTACCAATGATGGGGCATTATTCCTCCCCCACTGACACCAACGATGGGGCACTATTCCTCCCACTGACACCAACGATGGGGCACTATTCCTTCCCACTGACACCAACGATGGGGGCACTATTCCTTCCCACTGACACCAACGATGGGGCACTATTCCTCCCACTGACACCAACGATGGGGCGCACTATTCCTCCCATTGACACCAACGATGGGGCACTATTCCTCCCACTGACACCAACGATGGGGCACTATTCCTCCCACTGACACCAACGATGGGGCACTATTCCTCCCACTGACACCAACGATGGGGCACTATACTTCCCTCTGATACCAACGATGGGGCACTATTCTCCCACTGACACCAATGTTGGGGCACTATTGCTCCCCCTGATGCCAACGATGGGGCACTATTCCTCCCACTGACACCAATGATGGGGGCACTATTCCTCCCACTGATACCAATGATGGGGCACTATTCCTCCCACTGACACCAATGATGGGGCACTATTCCTCCCACTGACACCAATAATGGGGCCGTATTCCCCCCACTGACACCAATGATGGGGCACTATTCCTCCCACTGACACCAGTGATGGGGCACTATTCCTCCCACTGACACCAATGATGGGGCACGTTTCCCTCCCACTGACACCAGTGATGGGACACTATTCCTCCCACTGACACCAGTGATGGGGCACTATTCCTCCCACTGACACCAATGATGGGGCACTATCCCCCCACTGACACCAATGATGGGGCACTATTCCCCCCACTGACACCTATGATGGGGCACTATTCCTCCCATTGACACCAACGATGGGGCACTATTCCTCCCCCCACTGACACCAACGATGGGGCACTATTCCTCCCACTGACACCAATGATGGGACACTATTCCTCCCACTGACACCAATGATGGGGCACTATTCCTCCCACTGACACCAATGATGGGGCACTATTCCCCCCCACTGACACCTATGATGGGGCACTATTCCTACCACTGGCACCAATGATGGGGCACTATTCCTACCACTGACACCAATGATGGGGGCACTATTCCTACCACTGATACCAATGATGGGGCACTATTCCTCCCATTGACATCAGTGATGGGACACTATTCCTCCCACTGACACCAATGACGTGGCACTATTCCTCCCACTGACACCAATGATGGGGCACTATTCCTCCCACTGACACCAATGATGGGGCACTATTCCCCCCACTCACATCTATGATGGGGCACTATTCCTACCACTGACACCAATGATGGGGCACTATTCCTACCACTGACACCAATGATGGGGCACTATTCCTACCACTGATACCAATGATGGGGCACTATTCCTCCCATTGACATCAGTGATGGGGCACTATTCCTCCCACTGACACCAATGATGAGGCACTATTCCTCCCAGTGACACCAATGACGTGGCACTATTCCTCCCACTGACACCAATGACGTGGCACAATTCCTCCCACTGTCACCAGTGACGTGGCACTACTCCTCCCACTGCAAAATTACAGTTATGAAGTAGCAACGAAAATAATTTTATGGTTGGGGGTCACCACAACATGAGGAACTGTATTAAGGGGTCGTGGCATTAGAAAGGTTGAGAACCACTGGCCTAGGCAGTGGAAGTGGGAGCCGGTACCCCTGTCAAATTCGGGTAGCACCCCCCCCCCCCCCCAAAGTTGCAAATCCTTAATGGGGATCAGGGGACCAATCTTTAAACTTCCCCTTTTGGGTGGAACTCCACTTTAATTTGAGTAAACCAAAGAGATTATACTTTTTGCTAGAAAGGACATTTGCAAACAAAATAGTGTTAGAGACATGAAGTTGAATCTTTTAAACAGAATACAGAATCTACTAGAGAAATGCATGTTACAAACAGTATTAAAAGTGTTTTTGGGTGGCCAGTGGATGGTGTCTGTAGTGCAATAATTTTAATTATTTTTTACAATTTATTTTTGTATTAATTTTTTTCCCAATGATTTTGTGGGGGCAGTGGACAGTATTAGTAGGGACTGAACAGGGAACACTGGTATATATTGAGAGGAGGACAGGAGGGAGAGAAATTTGGAGGAAGGAAGGAAGGAAGGAAAGGAAGGGAGGGAGGGGATGGATGGAGGAAGGGAAGGGAGGGGGGGATGGATAGGAAAGAAGAAAAGGTGGGGAGGGAGGAAGAAAGAGAATGGAGGCAGGAAGGAAGCAAAGAAAGGGAAGGAAAGGAGGAAGTAAGGAAGGAAAGGAGGGAAAGATGGAAGGAAATAAGGACACACATGGATGGTTCCCAGCTTACTGGCACATTCAGAAGCATTACACAGCTGCCGGCTGCTCTGTACACAATTTGTTGGTAGGGACAGAGAAAGGCAGAGCAGATCCAGGCTCTCTCCTCTGCTGTGGTGGTGGGGGGGGGGGGGGTGAATCCAATGCACAATCAGGAATGTTGAGTTACAAGCAGTGATCTCCCTGTATGACTTTCAATGAAGCAACTGGAAGCTGCAGGAGAGAGAGGAAGAGAATTGGCTTCCAGATGCTTCCTTGAAAGCCATAAATGGCGATCGCTGCACTGATAATTCCTGAATTTTGTTCCTGAAACAAACCCTCGGGCTTGTATGCAGTGAACACCCTGCACCCATGGATGATACGCCACTGACACCAGGGCATTCTGAAAGGCAAGTTTTAACATTTTGTGAGAGAATTAAAGCTTGCTCACCCTTTCCAGCCTCCTGCATGTTTCTTTTGGACTATGAATCATCCCATCATGGAGATGGACCATTAGGAATGTGTTGGGATCTTGTATACTACTTAAAAGTGTGTTGGAGAAAAGTGTTTTGCCATGACAGAAAGATTTTACAGGCTTCTGCAGGTATGTATACTGCATTTTATACTTGCTAAGATAGATACTTTGTGTGTTTTACATAGAGGGGACATTAAGGGTGCCAAATAATCAACTTCTCATGTTAGTAAAAAAAGTACACCTTTTATTTTATAATTAAAAATATTTCATATAAAAATCATAATGCACAAGGAAAGACCAACTTTTGGTAATATTTATGTCATAACATGAGCGTTGTGCATAGAAACCTTCTCTACATGACCCCTCCTCTCAGTATATACACTCACCGGTCTCTTTATTAGGTACACCTGCTTAATTGCTGGGTAACATAAATTGCTAATCAGCCAATCACATTGCAGCAACTCAATGCATTCAGACATCTAGACGTGGTGAAGACAACTTGCTGAAGGTCAAACTGAGAATCATAATGGGGAAGAAAGGGGATTTAAGTGAGTTTGAGTGTGGCATGGTTGTTGAGTGCCACACGGACTGGTCTGAGTATTACATAAATTGCTGATCTACTGGGATTTTCAACCATCTCTAGGGTTTACAGAGAATGGTCCAAAAAAGTTAAAATATCCAGATAGATGCAGTTGTGTTGACAAAAATGCCTTGTTGATGTCAGAGGTCAGAGGAGAATGGGCAGACTGGTTCGAGATGATAGAAAGGCAACAGTAACTCAAATAACCACTTGTTACTACCAAGGAATGTAGAATACCATCTCTGACTGCACAACACGTCGAACCTTGAAGCAGATGGGCTACAGCACCAGAAGACCACAACGTTTTTCAAATCTTCTGTAGACCAATTTGGTGAGCCTTTGCGAATTGTAGCCTCCATTTCCTGTTCTTAGCTGACAAGAGTGGCACCCACTCTTGTCAGCTAAGAGCAGGAAACGAAGGCTACAATTCGCACAGGCTCACCAAAAGAGAAGATTGGAAATTGCTTGGTCTGATGAGTTTTGATTTCAGCTGCGACATTCAGATAGTAGGGTCAGGTGTAAACAATATGAAAGCATGGATCCATCCTGCCTTATATCGACAATTCAGGCTGGCAGTGGTGGTGTATTGGTGAAGGGGATTTTTTCTTGCAACACTTTTGGCCCCTTAGTACCAACTGAGCATTGTTTAACCACTTACCCTCCAGAAGATTTACCCCCCTCCTGACCAGGCCATTTTTTTTTAAATACTTTAACTGGTAATTGCACGGTCATGCAATGCTGTACCTAAATTAAATTTATGTCCTTTTTTTCACAAATAGAGCTTTCTTTCGGTGGTATTTCGTCACCTTTTCCTTTTTTTGTTTATTATGCTATGAACAAAAAAAGGCCAACAATTTTGGGGAAAAAAACTTTATTTTTGACCTTTTGCTATAAAACATATTCAAATAAAAAAATGTAAAAAATTTAATTTCTATAAATAAATAAATACATTTAGGCCAAAATGTATTCTGCTACATGCCTTTGCTAAAACAAAAGTGTATATTAATTGGTTTACGTGTAAGTTATAGCATCTACAAATGGCGGTATATATACTGGAATTTATTTTTATTTATTTTTTTTTATACTAGTAATGGTGATGATCAGCGATTTATAATGGGACTGCGGCGGGCATTCTGACACTGGGTGGGAACTGATTAACTGTCACTGACATCTCCAGTGACATTAATACAGTGATCAGTGCTAATAAAAACCACTGACACTGTACTAATGACACTGGACAGAAAGAGGTTAACATCTGGGGTGATCAAAGGGTTAACAGTGTGCTGTGTGCATTTTACTTTGCAGATATGCTGCTTTGTATCTCTCTGCTGTGCTGAGAGATACAAAGCAGCATGTCCATGCTGACAGGAGAGAGGTCTATGTTGTCTACAAAGAAATTTCTCCCCTCTCAGTCCTACTGATGATCACTGAGCCGCTGGCTGAGACCCAGTGATTGACATATCCAGCAGCCAATAGCAGAGCAGGTAGGGTGTCACACGTAGGCTTGGCTGCTTCCCAGGCTTCTGGAGAGTCCTGGAATGTAGTGGGTTGGAAAAGGTAAATTCACAGCCCTGAATATTTATCTGGTCTAAGTCAATCCCTGGGGGAGGATGTCTAGTAGGTGACTGAGTAGTGCAATAGTCTGGGGCCTGGGGGGACTGTTCTGCTGAAAATTGCTGGAACTGATTAAGGAATTTCACTGAGGATCTGGTTTGGAGAGTTAATGGGAGAAATATCTGGCTGATATTGAAAGGAGGCATCACATATCCAGGAACATTGTGAGTACAGACCTGTGTGTAGGATCCTAGTGACTGTGTTCCGCTACTATTCCTTGCACATCAGTGTCAGTACTTGCTTGAATTGAGACATTTCCT